CCAATCACTTTATTTTGTAGTTGAAACAGTTGACTTGGCAATTTCTTGTGCTCAATCGATAGAATAGAAGTAATACTAGTGAAATAGCTAAGAATTTGGTTGACTGGAATAATGTAATTGGCCTAAAATGGGAGTCAAAGTCGGCAAAATTGCCGATTCGTAAATATCGCTGACACATCACAATTCGTGAGAGCATAATTTCGTCAATTTTCCATCAAATTTCATACTTTTTGTTTCATTACCTTCACAAAAAGATTCTCTACCATTTCATAAGAAAAAATAACAAATTTTTTTTTTTAAATTCTTGAACACTGGGGCACCACTTCAGATTTTGGCCTTGGACCCTGGAGGGGTTAAAAATAGGGTCCAGAAAGAACAGTGTAGACATTCCTGGCACTGAAACAACATTTCTTCTCTTCATTGGTCATGTCCTCAGGTTTTTCCTGTATTGCGCTTGCTTTCCGTTTTGAATTTTTGTTTGCACAAAAAATAAGTGATTTGCTGTTGTGCAGACTAATGCATTGTTGTAATAATGATATAAATAATGTCAGCACATTATTAGTGGGACACACACTGGACAAGTGACGTAGTTTGTGTGCTCAATTTCAAGCTACTTTCAGTCCTCAAACCAATCAAAATCATCTCTCTTTCTGTGATATATTTCCATTCTATCGGGTGAGACCAGGAAATTGGGAATACAACAGTGAAAACCATACAAAACTACATCACGGAGTCGTTGTTTTAAACCAAAGACATGGTCGCAGTTTTTTCCCCATTATGCACTGCTTGCTGCAGGATTTTTTTAAACTAGAAAGAGAAAGGCATTCCCTATACAGGCAAAGGCAAAGAATAACAGAGCAGCTAAAAGAGACCTATATATCTGTAATAGGAAGGGAGGCACTGGTCAGAGAAGTAGCAAACAATGAACTTAAGCTAAAGGAATCTTACAAGAGTCAAGAAACATGGAAAGAACTAAAACCAATACATGAAATTGAAAGAAACCCAAAATATTTCTTTTCTTATGCCAAATCTAAATTGAGAACAACATCCAGTATTGGGCCCCTACTTAGACAAGATGGGTCCTACACAGATGACAGCAAGGAAATGAGAGAGCCACTCAAGTCCTAATATGACTGTTTTTAGCGAGCCGCTAACCAGACTGAGAGCCAAAGATCTAAATGAATTTTTTATGAGCGAGACACAGAATTTGGTAGACTCAAACCTATCTGATATTATCCTGACACCAAATGACTTCAAAAAGGCAATAAATGACATGCCCATGTACTTTGCCCCATTCCCAGACTCATGGAACCCCGTGTTCATCAAGAGCTGCAAGAAACCCCTATCATGTGCTTTTAACATCTTATGGAGAAGGAGCATGGATATAGGGGTCGTCCCACAGTTGCTAAAAACAACAGACATAGCCCCACTCCACAAAGGGGACAGTAAAGCAACAGCAAAGAACTACAGACTGATAGGTTAACATCCTATATCAGTAAAATCTTTGAAAGGATCCTAAGAAGCAGGATTGCCACTTATCTAGATACTCATCAGTTACATAACCCAGGGCAGCATGGGTTTAGAGTAGGTGGCTCCTGTCTGTCCCAACTACTGGACCACTATGACAAGGTCCTAGATGCTCTAGAAGACAAACAAAATGCAGATGTAGTATACACAGACTTTGCAAAAGTCTTTCGACAAGTGTGACCATAGCGTAATAGCACACAAAATGCATGATAAAGGAATAACAGGAAAAGTTGGTAGATGGATCTATAATTTCCTAACAAATAGAACACAAAGAGTAGTAGTAAACAGTAAAGTCTGAGGCAGCTACTATGAAAAGCTCTGTTCCACAAGGCACAGTACTCGCTCCCATCCTGTTCCTCATCCTCATATCTGACATAGACAAGGATGTCAGCCACAGCACAGTGTCTTCCTTGGCAGATGACACCCAAATTTGCATGACAGTGTCCTCCACTGAAGACTGCAAGACTCCAGGCAGACATCAACCAAATCTTTCAATGGGTCACAGTAAACAATATGAAGTTCAATGATGAGAAATTTCAACTACTCCAACATAGAAAACATGAGGAAATTAACCCGTAAACGGTCCAAACGTATATATACATTTTTTCAACATTTGATATTATGTAAAAAAGTAGATGTTTTTTTTTTTTTTAAATTTGAAAACGTGTAAAAAAACTTTGATCTACATTTTTTTTTTATACTATTTGAAAATATGTAAAAAAAACGTAGATCTACTTTTTGGAGCACTACGCATGTGAACGTAGATCTGCTTGGACCATTTACGGGTTAAAACTATATCGGAGTATAAATTAAATTCCAACCACGCAATAGAGCAAAACACTAATGTAAAAGACTTGGGAGTAATAATGTCAGAGGATCTCACTTTCAAAGACCACAATATTGTATCAATTGCATCTGCTAGAAAAATGACAGGATGGAAAATGAGAACCTTCAAAACCAGGGATGCAAAGCCCATGATGACACTCTTCAAGTCGCTTGTTCTATATAGGCTGGATATTGCTGCACACTATCAACACCTTTCAAGGTAGGTGAAATTGCTGACCTAGAAAATATACAGAGAACCTTCATGGCACACATACGAAACTGCGATAAAACACCTCAATTACTGGGAATGCTTGAAGTTCTTCAACCTGTACTCTCTAGAATGCAGGCGGGACAGATACATAATTACATACACTTGGAAAATCCTAGAGGGATTAGTACAAAATTTGCAAAAAAAAATCACTCCTTATGAAACCAAAAGACTTGGCAGACGATGCAACATCCCCCCAATGAAAAGCAGGGGCGCCACTAGCACGATGAGAGACAACACAATAAGTGTCAGGGGCCCAAGCATACATAAGGGGGATTACCAGTTGACCCCTGGCTGTCTTCAAGAAGGCACTGGACAGGTACTTAAAAGTCAGTACCTGGCCAGCTGGGCTGTGGTTCGTACATCAGGTTGCGTGCGGCCAACAGTAACAGCCTGGCTGTTCAGGCCCTGATCCACTATGAGGCCTGGTTACAGACTGGGCCACGGGGGCATTGACCCCTGAAACTCTCTCTAGGTACCTCAAAAATCTCTGATATTATCCTAACATTGCAAGGCTTTGAAAAAACAGTAAATGACATGCCCATGCACTCTGCCCCAGACCCAGACTCATGGAACTCCATGTTCATCAAGAACTGCAAAAAGCCCCTATCACGTGCCTTCAGTATTCTATGGAGAGGGAGCATGGACACAAGGGTCATCCAACATTCACTATAAACAGCAGACACAGCCCCACTCTACAAAGGTGGCAGAAAAGCAATTGCAAAGAACTACACTAACATCCCGTACCATAAAAATCTTTGAAAGGGTTCTAAGAAGCAAGACTACCAACCACATAGGTACCCATCAATTACACAACTCAGGGCAACACGGGTTTAGAGCAGGTCACTCCTGCCTGTCCCAGGTACCGGACCACTATGACAAGGCCCTGGATCCTATAGAGGATAAACAAAATGCAGATGTAGTATACACAGACTTTGCAAAATCCTTCAACAAGTGTGACCATGGTGTAATAGTGCACAAAATGCGTGATAAAGGAATAACAGGAAAAGTTAGTAGATGGATCTATAACTTCCCAACAAATAGAACACAAAGAGTAATAGTAAACAGAGTAAAGTCTGAGGCGGCTATGGTGAAAAGCTCTGTTCCACAAGGCACAGTGCTCGCTCCCATCCTATTCTTCATCCTCATATCTGACACAGACAGAGATGTTAGCCATCCTTTGTGGATGACACCTGAATTGCCATGACAGTGTCCTCCATCAAAGACACTGGAAGACTCCAAGCAGACATCAACCAAATCTTCAAATGGGCCACTCAAAACAATATGAAGTTCAATGAAGAGAAATTTCAACTACAATCAGATATGGAAAACTTGAAGAAAAAGTAATGTGAAGGCCCTGGGAGTGATAAAGTCAGAGGATCTCATCTTAAAAGACTACAACAATGTATCTACTGCATCTGCTAAAAAAATTATAGGATGAATAAAGAGAACCTTCAAAACTAGGGATGCCAAGCCCATAATGATTCTCTTCAAATTGCTTGTTCTCTCTAGACTGGAATACTGCTGTACACTAACTGCCCTCTTTAAGGCAGGCGAAATTGCTGACCTGGAGAGTGTACAAAGAACTTTCAGGCACACATAAGTACGATAAGGCACCTAAATTGCTGGGAACAGTTGAAGTCCCTTGATTTGTATTCCCTGGAATGCAGGCAAGAGAGATACATGATAATATACACTTGGAAAATCCTAGAGGGATTAGTACCAAACTTGCACACAAAAATCAGTCCCTATGAAAGCAAAAGACTCAGCAGGAGATGCAACATTCTCTGGACACTGAGGGACAACACCGTAAGTGTCAGGGGCCTAAGACTGTTCAACTGCCTCCCAGCATACATAAGGGGGGATTATCAATAGACCCCTGGCTGTCTTCAAGAAGGCACTGGACAGGCACCTAAAGTCAGTACCTGACCAGCTGGGCTGTAGTTCATATGTCAGTTTGCATGCGGCCAGCAGTAACAGCCTGGTTGATAAGGCCCTGATCCATCACAAGGCCTGGTCTCAGACCGGGCCCGTGGGCACTGGCCCCTGAAACCCTCTCCAGGTATACTACAGGTATACCCTGCCTCGGTGGATACAGCCAGTTTGTTGAAAGAAGAACATGTAAACGTATATGCATTTTTTTAGGCCTAGCTATATTGCTCATTTATTATGTGATAGTGTAAACAAGTTATCAGGCTTTTACATGCATTTGAAAGTGAAAAAAGACTATGATTCACTTTAGAGTGATTTTCACTTTACAGCAGTAGCACTTTACAGCAGTAGCACTTTACAGCAGTAGCACTTTACAGCAGTAGCCCAGAACCTAACCTGCTGTGTAAGTGGTGCCCTCCTGTATTACAAAATCAAACTAATACAGTACCTCTGGAAGCTGACAATTGAGCTGCAAACTGCAGCACCAGCTGATACAGCATAGAGATGGTGGTCCAGTCGGCCAGGATGGCGTCCACGGTGGTGCCCACGTGCTCAGCACTGGTCACCTCATAGGTGAAGTACGTGGCCCGGCGAGGACCCTGCTCCCTGGAGTGTAGGCTAGTTACCGGGCAGTTAGTGAAGAGGTATTCCATGCCAAACACCCGTGACCCAGTGAATTGCTGCAAGAAGGAAGGTTGCTATGATCAGCTGCTCCTCCACTCACACTGGGGTTATGTTCCCATGAACCCACTGTAAGTTAAATACAGCCTCTCCTCACTTAGCGATGTACTTGTTTACCGACACCTCAGACTTACAACAGACTCTCTGACCAGCATTTATACCTAAATAATGTATATTAGAGCTAATTTCCTCTATTCTGTTTATTTCAATATACAGTACACTACTGTATAAACATTTAAAAATATACCAGAAATGTTCTAAATGGTGCAAAGGTGACATTAAAATAATATCAAAGATGGTTGACACAAACTCACTATTATAGTATGCTCCTCACTTAGCAACGAATTCATTTAACGATGTGGTGTTAGGAACGGAACTCCGTTGTTAAGTGAGGAGAGGCTGTATATCACAAGTCCAATATTAATATATGATAAATAAATGAGTAAATAAACAACTGCTTTCACTGGATAAGTAAACAAATAATTACTATAACTAAATATCAGCACTGAGAAGTAAATAAAAAAGGTTTATCTTATCAATAAATATACAGTACTGAATGTACAAAGCAATCACACCATCAGAAAATCAAAATATCAAAACTCAAACCATCTTAAAGTTGAAATATTGTAAGTCAAACCATTGTAAAGTGAGGAGCATTTGTAGTTATGTTATATCCGCATAGCACAACCCATCCTCCAAAAAACTGTGTCACTTTTCACATAGACCTTGCAACACATTTCTAAATTAACTTAGATTGCAATGGAAAAACTATAAATATAACATAAAAGGCTTCCATGTGAACAGAAATCGTACAGCCACTATGTGCAACTGATGAAAAACGGTCATATTTCAACTGTTCAAGGCACCATGATAGACTGTTTGTACAAGAGTGCCATGATGTCTGTGGCTACAAGAAGTGACTGGAGAGTGAGATATACCAGCCACAATAATGAGAATAAGACACAGCTACAGGGAGAGACTAGAGAGTGAGATATACCAGCCACAATAATGAGAATGAGAATAAGACACAGCTACAGGGAGAGACTAGAGAGTGAGATATACCAGCCACAATAATGAGAATAAGACACAACTACAAGGAGAGATGGGAGAGTGAGACACACCAGCCACAATAATGAGAAAAAGACACAGCTACAAGGAGAGATGGCTTCGTCTCTGTAGATGCCTTCCTCTCCCACTACATTGTAAAATGTTCCAAACTTCAGAACACCCATGACTTAACCTGATTCCTCGTTTTTTCTTCTTCTTCTCCCTCTTCCCCTTTCCTCTTTCCCTTTTTCTCCTCTGGGTTGTCTTTCTTCTGTCTCGTGTTTCTGTTCCTGCATTATTTATTTCATCACTTCCCCTTCTTCCCCACCTCTGTGTACTTGCTCTCCCTCTGTGGGCACCTAGGTTCCTTGCAGTGCTCCCCTTTCTTTGTATTTGACTGGCTCGTCCTCCTTATTCCCCACTACTACTACTACTACCACCACTGCTACTGCTACTACTACTACTACTACCACTACTACTACCTCTACTACTACTACCACCACCACTACCTCTTCCTGCCTATATATACCCCTTCCTGCTCTACTTCTCGTTAGTGTGACTTTGTAAATGGTTCAAGTCGGACCGAAACGTCGTCGTAAGCTCCTCTCTTCTATGTGCGGGTTATTTGTGTATCATTCCAGTCACGGTATTGTGCCTTTTTTTGTTATTCACACTTGTAGTGTTTGTAAGTGCACACTTGTAGTGTTTGTTAGTGCACACTTGTAGTGTTTGTTAGTGCACACTTGCAGTGTTTGTAAGTGCACACTTGCAGTGTTTGTTGGTGCACACTTGTAGTATTTGTAAGTGCACTCTTGCAGTGTCTGTTAGTGCACACTTGCAGCATTTGTTAGTGCACACTTGTAGTGTTTGTTAGTGCACACTTGCAGTGTTTGTTAGTGCACACTTGTAGTGTTTGTTAGTGCACACTTGTAGTGTTTATAAGTGCACATTTGTAGTGTTTGTTAGTGCACACTTGTAGTGTTTGTTAGTGCACACTTGTAGTGTTTGTTAGTGCACACTTGTAGTGTTTGTTAGTGCACACTTGTAGTGTTTTGTTAGTGCACACTTGTAGTGTTTATAAGTGCACATTTGTAGTGTTTGTTAGTGCACACTTGTAGTGTTTGTAAGTGCACACTTGTAGTGCTTGTTGGTGCACACTTGTAGTGTTTGTTAGTGCACACTTGTAGTGTTTGTTAGTGCACACTTGTAGTGTTTGTTAGTGCACACTTGTAGTGTTTGTTAGTGCACACTTGTAGTGTTTGTTAGTGCACACTTGTAGTGTTTGTTAGTGCACACTTGTAGTGTTTGTTAGTGCACACTTGTAGTGTTTGTTAGTGCACACTTGTAGTGTTTGTAAGTGTACACTTGTAGTGTTTGTTAGTGCACACTTGTAGTGTTTGTTAGTGCACACTTGTAGTGTTTGTTAGTGCACACTTGTAGTGTTTGTAAGTGTACACTTGTAGTGTTTGTTAGTGCACACTTGTAGTGTTTGTTAGTGCACACTTGTAGTGTTTGTTAGTGCACACTTGTAGTGTTTGTTAGTGCACACTTGTAGTGTTTGTTAGTGCACACTTGTAGTGTTTGTTAGTGCACACTTGTAGTGTTTGTTAGTGCACACTTGTAGTGTTTGTTAGTGCACACTTGTAGTGTTTGTTAGTGCACACTTGTAGTGTTTGTAAGTGTACACTTGTAGTGTTAGAGCACAGGGCCGGATTTAGACCTAGGGGGGCCCGGGGCACTTTAGATTTGGGGAGGCCCTCAACATGGAAATTAAACTGAATTGCAAATAAGAAATGAACTAAAATGATAAACAGCAGTTTTCAAAAAAAAAAAAAAATCTGCTAGGTTTTGAAGAAGCCATCTGATTTTATTTTTCTCAGTTTTATTGACTTTTTGTAAAAATTTATAACAATTAACTATTAACCCTTTCAGGATCGAGAGGCCCTCTCCTAAACTCATTCTCAGGGTTGAAAATTTTTCAGAAAAAAAAAAAATTATTTTTTTCTTATGAAATGATAATCTTTTCCTGATCATAATGACACCAAAAGTATGAAATTTGATGGAAAACTTACAGAATTATGCTCTTGTGAAGTCAGCGGTCTCAACGATGTTTACACATTGGCGATTTTGTCCACTTTGAGCCCTATTTTTGGCCAATTCCTGTGTACTAGTCGACAAAAATCATATCTATTTCACTAGAACTCCATTTCTTCTATCAAATGAGTACAAGAAACCACCCATTTACCGATTTCAACTATCCAATAAAGTGGTCAGAAATTGGGAATTTTGCCAATTTCACACAAATTTCGGAAGATGCCAATTTCCAAATAGGGTCCAGAATAAACAAGACAGACGTTCCTGGTACTAAAATAACATTTCCTCTGTTCATTAATCACATCCCCAAGCCCCGCTTACATCTCTCTTGCTATCCACTTTGAATTTTTATTCTCACAAAAAATAGAAGATTTACTGTTATGCAGACTACTGCATTAGTGTAGAAATGGTATAAATAATATCAGTGCACTAGTGAAAGAATATTAGACTCACCAGTTGATGTGTATTGGACGCTTAGCATGATTTGTTAACTTTTGAACTTTTGTAAAAATCGAACATTTCTGCTACTTTGAGCTCAATTTCAAGGTAATTTTCATTATGAAACCAATCAAAATCATCTCAATTTCTGTAATATGTGTTCCATTCTATAAAATGAGACCAGGAAAACTAAAATACAACCATAATTACCACACGAAAATACACTGCAAAGTCGCCGCTTTAAAAAAAAAACACGGTCAGTTTTTTTTCTCTATTATGCATTGTGTGCTGCAGGATTTTTTTATACTGTGCACACTGACCACACAGACCCATTCTTTTATATGCAGGCCTACTAGCTTTCTCTCACTAGATTTGAAGGCGATAGAATTTAGGCGTACTAGTACATCAATAACCCTGGTGCACAAGCCGTACTAGTACGTTGGAAACCCTGAAAGGGTTATGAGGGCCAGCTTATAATGGCCAAGAATGGGTTCGTTACCTGTTTTTACTTTTTAGTTAATTTACCCTGAATCTTAAAGAATACTTCAAATAATAATTCTCTTATGGTCGTACATCCCAGGACACTTTAGTAACATTATACAACAACATCATAATTATAATATAAAGCCTATATTTATTATCTTTGGTGTAGACATTTCTACATTCTAACACAAAAATTTTGCATCGCCTCACGCTAAAAAACTCACCTCACATGTGGCCTGAGCACGCCTCAGCTGCCCCATGGGTGCCAGTGTTTACAAGCCAGCCAGTGCGGTCGCATCCATGCATACAATCGGTACATTTCATATTATCACAGCATTTTTAGTGACTGTACCTGCAAAATAAGTCACGATGGGCCCCAAGAAAGCTTCTAGTGCCAACCGTGCGGTAAAAAAGGTGAAAATTACTATGGAAATGAAGAAAGAGATAACTGCTAAGTACGAAAGTGGAGTGAGTGTCTCGGAGCTGGCCAAGTTGTATACCAAACCCCAACCAACCATCGCTACTATTGTGGCCAACAAAACGGCAATCAAGGAAGCTGTTCTTGCAAAAGGTGCAAGTTTGTTTTCGAAACAGAGATCGCAAGTACTCAAAGATGCTGAGAGATTGTTATTTTTGTGGATAAACGAAAAACAGATAGCAGGAGATACCATCTCTCAAGCGGTCATATGTAAAAAGGGTGGGAAATACGTACTATTGTACCATGGTCAGCTGCTGCTGCTGCACCATGGTCAGCTGTTGCTGCACCACCTTCAGCTGTTGCTGCACCACAGTCAGCTGCTGCTGCACCACCATCAGCTGTTGCTGCACCACCAACAGCTGCTGCTGCACTACAGTCAGCTGTTGCTGAACCACGGTCAGCTGCTGCTGCACCACAGTCAGCTGCTGCTGCACCATGGTCAGCTGCTGCTGCACCACG